TTTTTAAATGTGGACTTTTTTTCTTTTTTTTTAATATTTCGAAGAAAGATGCTGTAAGTTTTACCTAGAAGCTCCAACGAGGTCAGTTTCATTGTTTTTTTTTTTTTTTATGTATACATATATGTTTACGTTACGCACATGTCTCGTGTATTTTAATCGCATAATTAATGAAACGTAAAGCATTTCCTCTCGTGCGAAATCGTGTAATAAAATTAGATGAAATATCGTGATCGATCGATACGAAAGTAAGGAGGGGAATTTTTTGTAAGGAGGTGAAGAAAAAAAGAAGAAACGGATGCCGCAAAATGTGATTTAATGCGTGATTTTAGTTAGCTAGGCAAACTTTGAACCTGTTAGTAGATGACGTTACCCGCGTCCGTCACTCTTAAACGATGTAAAAAGAAAAGAAATAATTTATCGTCTACGTAGGAGCTACACGTAAAACGACGTGCGAGTCGGCAGGACTGTTAACGAGAAATGATAAACGATATTGTTACTTCGCTCTCCCGAAATGTATTTTGTATACCACAATGAACGAGCAAACGAATTTTCAAGCAACAGTTCAAACAACCACTATTCAATGAAAGTTTTGTAAATCTAAGCTAAAGGAGAAGAAAAAAAGAAAGTTTATATACACGATTAATTGTTTTTTAAACGTGATCATCGTGATCTTTCGTACGTGTCTCATTTATATTCTAAGGTATTGCAAAACCGCGTAATCTCTTATTTATCCTACTGTGCATTTGAACAGAGGTCAGCGTTTTATTCTTGTATACTTGAGCCAAAGCGATGAAATAAAATTTCTATGTACCTCTAACGAAACACAGACGAATTTAATTTTCAATAAATCACAAAGAAACACGACTACCTTGGAATGATAAATGATTTTTCAGTGACCTCGCATAATTTCTACGTGACCTACACACACGCGCGCGTTTTCTACGATTGTTCCTTCCGTTCTCAAGAATGAAAGAGTCCAGGGAAAGTCTCTTGAATTGTTACGTGAATTGTAAATGAAAGAAACAAAGATCTACACATGGTGATAGATCATGTGAAGATATAGACCGTGCGATTATCGAGGGTACAGTGTCACGTTTGCGAATGTTCTGTACGATTCGATCCGCGAACGATTTAAAAGTGTAGCGGAAGATCTACCTTATGTATGTTCCTTGTGTATATAATCTTACGTTTTTAGAGTAATCTAAACGAGACACTCGATATAGGCGACAATTTTTACGCCTGCATGAGAGAACACTTGTAAAACATTGTTAATAAACGTATTGCGAGATAAAAATCAGCCTGTTATTCAACGAACTTTCCTTCACGCTCGATTCAATCGAATGACTGTGTGGAAATGGATTCGAAGTGTTTCAACGAAGGTAACGGAGTCTGATGATTCGTCGAATAAAAAGTACAAGGAACAGGTGTTTTCAATGCACTGCTGTACTTTTATTACGTTTGGCCATGCGTACCATAAGTGTGAGTCTCGCTCTCGACAAATCTCTCTCGTTCTCGCTCTCGTTCTTCATCGCCGCACGCTTCGCTCGCTAAATAATAAAAAGTACGTCTTAGCAATAACAATAATTATTTTTTTCTTCCGTTTATAAAATAACGCTACCCTATGTACATGCCTGGCGTTCATCAGTGTGCCCAGGTGACTCAACAGAACGTTCTACAACTAGCATTGACAAGTGAAACTCGCAATTACAATCGATCGGACGATACGCGCGACTTCGTTTTCGAAATTCTTCCGAGACATCGACCGATCGACGATAATTTACAAATCAGGTTGCAGCCGATTCGACGATTCGTAATTAAAAACTTTCGAAGCATTAGCTCGTGGTGCAACGATTAAAAAAAAAAAGAAAAATAATAAAGAACGAAAAGATTGTCAACGAGAACTATTTAAAATTGAATTAAAACTCCGTGCGAGGGAGAAAAAAGAGCAACGAACCGAAAGTAATTATTACGAATAAAAAGAACGAAAACTTGATAAAAATGAATCGTTTAAAACCGTGGACTAAAATCGTTTAAAAAGGTAGTGATCGAAGCTATTGGAACGGATTTTGGAGACGTCTCTGACGTTGAGCTCCTTTACGAAAAGCCCCTCTCTTTTATCCCATTTATATCTCTCTCATTTTTTCCTCTCGAGTTTGGCACCGTCGAATTAACTCGTTCCCCGTTCTTCAGCAACAAGTGAATGCGTTTCGATTCCGAGAATTATCATTATTTATTTATTTATTTATTTATTCACGGACCTTCTCTATTCCGATAAAAGTTTTATCACAATAATAAAGTTCTTAGTTGCGCGTCCTGCGTGTGTCGCGGACGATGTCGTCTTCTCGATTGCAGCTTCCAAAAATACGATCTTGTTTCTTCACCTCGTGATCAGCACGATGAATTTTTTCGAAAAAAGATACACTAATAAATTGCACGTTATTTCTCATTTAGATTTTTCTCTCTCGTCGTATGAAAATTGATTACACGCAACAACGTGGAAGAATCTCCCTTCTTTCCTGCTTTTTCTTTTTAAAGCTGTCAAGCGACTTTTTCATCGATGATCCGGGAAAATATGCTATCAGAATTTCACAGTGCGTACACATCGTCTTTCTAATCGTTCCACGAGCGAGATCCAGTCGAAAAAAATTCTTAAATTTTCACCTTGACGTTCCTCGAAGAAAAAAAGTGTCACGTTGGGCTGATCAAAGAGTGAAAGAAATGGAATTTCGTTCGGCAAACTCAGACAATTTTTCAAACGGACCCCGCGTTTGCTCCCTCTCTTTATTTTTCTTTTTACTGGTCAAATTTGGATCGTTTCGATCAGGCAAAGAGCTACTGCTAAAAGTTCCCTTAAATTGTTATTCAACGGTTCAACCTATGCTACAATGTATATACAGCATGGCAGTGATTACACACTCTACATTTCCTTGCCGTACAATACACGTGCTACCGAAAAAAGAAAATATCTGCAACGTTTTTTAAAACTGCTTCGTCGACGCTTATCGATCGTTCGCGAAATGTCTCTCATTGACCAGTGAGAAATTCAACGTTTCTGTTTTACAGCTATACACCCTCTCGTGTGATACAGGCGAAAGATTATCGACGCGAATACAACGTGAACGTGCTCGTCGGCCTACCTAATTAGTACTTGTCATGCCTTGTCAACGTACTTTTATTTATCTTTTTTTCCTTTTTTTTTCTCTTTTTTTTTTGCAACTTCGTATCTCGACAGAAAGACAAAATTTATTTTCTGACCAATCGCAAACAACGCCTGTTACGTCTACGCGTCTCCACCGTGTCTCGAATTGATCGAACGTTGATTCCTTTACCAGAAGCGAGCACAACAAGCTCTCGAAAATTCACCTGAACTAACATTTCATCTGTTGATCAATTTGTGTCTCTATAGGTCTCTAATTACCCGACCTGAAAGTGCAAGGTTCGTCGTTCAATCGTTCTCTGCAGACTGCGTAGAGATTGGAAATTGTGAGAAGCGCTGATAAAAAGAAAATAGTCGAAGGAATTTTGTTCGGCGACGAGAATGGTGTTCGATGATCCTTCAGGTGAAATTCGAGCGGTCTTTGAATTGGAAACTTTCGAAACGCTCTGTGTCAGCTAAAAAAAAAACTCCGACTGGATCGTTTTTTCTTTTTTTTTTTCCGTTTTTACTGGCGTAGAAAAATAAGGGAAACGAATTGTCGTTCAATACGGAGACAATAATGAGCGCCTTGTGACTGCGAAAGGTAATTTTTTTTTACGGTTAGTAATTACGCTCGGTTACATTCCTCATACGACATTAGTACAATTATTAATTAATCTAGGACATAGTCACTACTCAAATAGATACTTTATAATAATTACTCTTTATAGTCTATCAAAATATTCATCACAGTGCTACGGACACAAAATTGTGTTCTGTTTATACGTGTAAATAATGATTCTTATTTTTTTTTTCTTTCTTTCTTTCTTTCTTTCTTTCTTTATTTCTTCG